GGGTCCGGAACGGAGGCGGGGCGGGGGCGGGGCAGGGACGGCCTAGCCCGGAAGCGGGGCCGCGGCGACAGACAACGACAGCCGGGCCCGACCCCCAGTTTCAAACCTGCTTCGGCTCGGACAACCACCACCTTCCGTTCGAGACCCCGCCCCGCCTTTCGGAACGGAAGCCGCAGGTTTCCCGCAGCGGCGCCGGCCGTTGGCTGCCTGACACGTCCTTTTGAACGATTCCTTCTCCTCATTGGCTATTGTGCCGGCAGCTTCTGAAACTTCCTCACCATTGGAGTAAATGTTTGTCATTCCAACTACTTGCCCCGCCTAATTCCAGAGGGGCAGGCGCTTTCACAGCGCCAAAGGTCATTGGCTGACACGGATGTCAGTCAGAGAGATAACGGCGCAGTGCGGGTGAATGGGGGCGTGGGTGGCATAGACGCCAGCGTGCGGGTGGTACAGGCCTCCAAGTTCTAGGCCAAGTGTCTGGGAGTGGAACCTCTTGTGTGACCTGCTCTGACTTCCCCACTGCAGCTGCTGTTCCGAGCGGCTTCTCCACGCTGTCGAGTAAAAGCGAAAATTCTGCCGTAAGGGAGGGCCTCCTGCATTTCGCGGCACTGAGCTCTGCGGCCTGGCGGCCTGGTCTGCTCCAAACGGAAACTACCTTAATTCCCCGCTCTGCCACCCACTCTTTAAGGGAAATAATTTTCTCCTAGCTCTCTAAGGGGCAGTCCGCGGACAGGCTGTTTGCAGACGGACCCGCCAGTGTACTCAGAGCCAGGCCAGCTTCAGTCCGGCTTTGCTCCGCTTTCCTGGCGGTTCTGGAAATGCTCGGAATTCTAGGGTTGGTCTTAAGCAGGCAGCAACCCGACCAGCGTGGCTCTCAGTTTTTGTCGTTTCCCATTCTGTCCTTTCCCCCATCGAGGGTCCCAAGGCAAATGCTAATCTAGCCCTAAATACATCTGTGTCTCCAGTTTGAAACGGAGCAGGGTCCAAATCTGAGTAACATGTCTTTATAATTTACATGGTTTCCACTACTTTGATTTCAACAAAACTAAAGGAGGATTGTATTGTTAGACGATATCATTAGATATAGTTTTGATCAATGTGATTGTTAACAGACAACTCAAAGAATTCATGAATTGAGTGACACTGTTACCTCTAGCAAACCCCTTAGAGTCCCATCTACTTTCATTTGTTAACCAGTTTTCTGTGTTTACGTTTTTTAAAAAAGGAAAGAAAAAGTACAAAAGTGTTGCTGAACCTTATCTTACTCTAATAAAAAAAATGGTTTTTATCCACACACATGAATTCATTGAGAGGAAAATACCCTCTTTGAAGAGATGCATTTCCAATAAATTTTAGTTTCTATAAATATTTGAATGGAGATATTTATGTTGTTTTGAACAACTCAGTACTAATAAGTGTAACCCTTAAAAGCCTTAGGTTAGAAAAATTGATATAAAAATTTCAATTTATGTATGTGTGTGTGTTTCGAACAGATATAATAAGATTATTAGTGATAGGCTTTCCGGCATGGAAATAAATTACATGTTGGGTAAACTGTGGATGGATGGAATAGAGTGGAATTATGAGCAGAGTAAAAGGAATGATGTTAAAGAAGAGCCTGTTATTCTGTTTTTAAAATGAAAGATGTTGGCTTCTGAATCACTGCTATTTGGATGGAAACAGATCAATATAAAAGAAACAGTTTATAAAATGTCAATATTTACAATACACTGGAAATTATGTCCTTTGCAACTATTTGCAAACTTATCAATAAAATATTTCAGATGTCAACTTAAAAATGTGTGAGGGGGGAAATACATTTTCAAACTTCTTTTAGGTAGTACTGAGAAAAAGGACTGAGGACCAGTGACTTTTTGGACAACAACCCATTTCAGTGGAGTAATTACCTGCATATGTTCTCAAACCAGACCATCTGGGTTGAAATTATATCCTCCTTTTCCTATATTTTTGGGGAATATTCTTTTTTTAACTGAAGTATAGTTTACGCATAGAAGTGCACATATTTTTACAACCTGAAGCACACTCATGTAATAGCCCTTAGATCAGGAAATAGAACAGTACCAGCACGCCCAGAAGTCCCCCTCTTGCCTGGGTAAACTTCTTGGTCTCTCTCTCTCTGCTTCTGATCCCACATCTCTAAAAGGGGGATAATAATACGGACCCCACAGGGTTGTTGTAAAGAGTTAATGAACTAATATCTTTAGAGCAGTCAGCACGGTGCCCCCCAACACAGGGTGAGCACTCTGGAAGTACTGGCTGTTGTCATTATTCCCTATGGCCACCAAGTCAGGGCCTCTCTGCTTCCTTTCACCCCAGCCTAGCTAAGAGTCCCCTGCTCCTGGACCCAGTGGAGCCACCTTCAGGTCCCCAACACACAGCTCCTGCAAGGACCTGATGACCCTCAGGTTAAGTTACACACCGAGCCCAACATGAAATGTGCAGGCTTTATTAGCTGTGAGACACTCCACTGCCCACTAGGGTCCCATTGGTCATCACAGAACCATCAGGGGCATAGTGGATGGGGGCTGGAGCTCTGTGCCCTGATGTGTCCACACAGAGGACACTTTCATCTCCAGCTGGTTCACAGGCTCTCACCAGGAGGTCTTGACTGCCTGTAGGGGCTGAGCTATGTGGTGGTGGGTAGTTCTAAGCTGGGAGGTGAATGTGCCCAGCCCAGAGCAAGGCTCTGACATAGATCAGAAATGTCTCTTATCTTCACTGACCCCTCTGTCCCATAAATTACCTCCACACCTAAGGCCCACTCACCCTCTGCCAGGCCTGCTGTCTGAACAGAGCCCTGGAGGAGGCTGGGAAAATCCTGAGCCTCTTCACTCACGCCATCTTGGGTCAACTGGATTGGCAGTCTGTAGCTATTCTAGGTGAATGGTTTTCAGAGGGCTATTTTAGAGGCTGTCTGCCTCCCCCAAATCCTTAACTGTCATCTCACCCACCTTCAGTTCCTTCATGGCGTCTTTTATCTTGGGGTTCAGTGGCTCTAACTCCCCATAAATCCAGGATCTGAGCCGTGTCTGTGGAACTCCAGCTGTTTGGGGACAGAGCTAAGGTGTTCAGGGAGGGAAGGAAAGCGGGGACCACAGACAAGTCCCTGTACCTCCAGGGGAGACAGAGGTGAGGCCAGGGGTGACAGGAGCCCCTCAGGCTGCTCCTGTTCCAAGGGTAGTGTCAGAGTTTTGTCCATTTCCAGGGCTGGGTAGGGCATCCTGGAGGAGGAGTTCCTGTGCTTCAGCCTACATTCATCCAAGTCACCATAGTTTGGGGTCTGGGAGGGTCAAGAAAGAGGGAGACACACAGTGTGGGGCACTTCCCCCCCAGCCCCCAGCCACCCTGACTTCAGGGATGAGAACTGGCAGGAGCTCTGTCCTGCTGCCCTTGCCCAAGATGTGAAGTCCATGGTCACGATCTGGGCTCTGCCAACACCTGCTCAGGCTGCCTGTCACGACTCAGACCATAAAGGAGGACAGCAGAAGTCACAGCTGCTCTTAGGCCACAGAGGCCCTGTGTTTGATGCCCACTGAGATCAAGTTAGGGGTGGGGGCAGGCACACAGCTGCCTCCAGACAAGTCCCTGGGGATGCCCTCATCTGCTTACCTGTGCAGGGGGCAGATTGCCCTGGGGCAGTCTAGTTCCTGGACTCGGAGGGGCTGAGGTCGCAGGAAACAAGGCCAGGTTGTTGGAGGCAGGGGCTCCCAGAAAGTAGCCAGTGTGGTCCTGGGGCAGGGGCTGCTGAAGGAGCTGCAGGATGCGGCTGAGGTCGGAGGACATTCGGGACTCCAGCCTGCCCGACAGAACCCCACAGTCAGGGTCAGATCAGGGTTGGGGTTGGCAGGAGCAATTTAGGTCCTGAGGGCAGTTCTGCTGGATGAAGCTATTTCCCTGCTGCAATTCACACCCCCTGCCCACATTCCCCCTAGCACATCCCTGACTCCAATAATAACAGTGACCAGGCAGCATGCACACATCATTTAGTCCTCATAATGAAGCTTTGACGTGGGTATTCTGGTTATCCCCGTTTCACAAAGGGCAAACTGAGGATCAGAGTGGTTGACCACAATCTTGCTGGTAAGTTGCAGAGCCAGAATTTGAATCCAGTACTGTACTGCCCCTAAGCCACCACTGCCCTGCCACCCACAGGCCACGCTCCTTTCCCAGGGTCCTTGGAAATTTTTTCTGCAAGTGGTTATGTCCCTCCCCCCAAGAAGTCTTCTGTAGCACATTCCAGGGTTTGCTGGGACAAGCTATCCAAGGAATTGTGCTTAGTGACAAGGATGGAGAAGTCTGCAGCTAAATAGGACCGGCTGTTCTAAAACCCATGGGGCACCCAGCTATGTCCCTGAGGCACCACGAGGGGGCACCCGTGCCTAGCCTGCCACTGGGCCTGCCTTCTATAGCTGCCCACATCCCTGGCCTGCAGGTCACTCACCTGTTCATCTGGGCCTGGAGCTGCTCTAGCCTGGAGCCTAGCTCCCGAGGCCAGCAGTCTGGGTCTCCCTGAGGGTTTGAAGGGCTGTGATGGTTTGAAGGGCTGTGATTTGGCCTTGGGGGCACTTGAGGCAGCAACTCAGGCCAGAGGCCAGATGCATCCGAGATGCTTAGGGAAGGGGTGGCACCTGCAGTGGGAACAGGGAAGCTTGAGCTTCGGACCAGCTGGTTCCACAGGCCTGACCTTCTGGTGCAGAGCCCAGGGCCCTCCCCCTACCTGCCATGGGAACACAGGGTTGGGGGAGTGGATCTCCTTACCTGGGTGCCCAGGAGTACGAGGTCTTGCCCCCATAGAGGTCTGGCTTCCGGGACCCAGAAAGCTGTAGCCCTGGGAGGGGGGCTGGGGCCCCAGTTTGGGGGGGTTGGCTGGGTGGGGACGTCCAGCCCTGGTCTCACTGTCCAGGGAGCTAGCTGCAGCCTAGCGGATCCCTTGGTGCTTTGATGTGA